ATTTACAGCAAGGTTAAAAAACTCTCCGGCAAAATATAAATAACGTACTTTATTTAGTTATCTATTTATCTGTTTGTTTATTTATTTACTTATTTATTTATTATAAAATTGAGTTATAAAAATGTACGTGAATGTCAGTTTTATTAAACACTTTTTATCTGAATATGGAATTTAATCTGGAACTATATCAGAGATACGGTATAAAATATATGTAGGTACATAAAACAATACGATACGTATATACGTAGAATAAAAAACCTGCATTTTTAACTAAAAATATTAAAGACTGCTCGAAAGTGCGACGTTTATTTTTGCATCCTTCGCGTCTCGTTTCTTTAGCAACACATTCGCATAATGATTTGAGAATCACGAAACTACGTCAAAGAGATTCAGAGATTTTATTCATCGAACGAGATCGCACGTGGATCGCCTAATGAGCACGCTAACAAACAACCACCGCGTTGTTACGTCACGGGGAAAGAAGCAACGCAAAATGCGCGGGAAATCCTTCAACGGGGTAGGAACGGAAAGCGGGTAAGAGACGACTAAAGATAATGTACCCCTGCATACAGATGACGTTATTAAACGGAAATCTGCAGATGGAGCGAACGCATAAAGCACTGTCTACCGCGTCGTTGTCTGATTAGGCATGCAACGTTTCCCACCTCCTACTTGCCCTCACCTCCTCCCTTTTCTTCTCCGCGAGATACTGGGGCTTTCTCTCCCTCTCCCCCTCTCTCTTCCTCTCTCGTTACGGACACGCGGCACGCCGCGCCGCGCCGCCCCCCTAACGTTCGTAAAACGATAACGGCGATTTTAACACCGCGTACAATGCAGCATTGAGCGGCAATGCAGTTCGTTGGTTCGTTCGCGGTAACGAATCCGAGCGAGCGCGCTTTTCTCAACGTCCCGCGTCCCGGAAATCCGACCGCGAAATCTAACCCTTTAGCTGCGGCTCTCTCTCGCGTGAAAATGCTTCTGTCACGTAATCGATAAGTAAGATGCAAGTGCATCGCATCAAAATACAAATTTCCATATTTTTCCGAATAATTTTTTTTACATCAGCAACGTTACTCACAGGGTGATGTCTTCTTCCGCCAAGGCAATATAGTGAACGTCATCTCCTGCCGTACCATCGAGAGAAATGCACGCCTTCCTTCCTTCCTTCCTTCCTTCCCACCCTTGTACGGAGACACAAGTACGGACTACGGAGCTCGCCGGAAATTCCAAGTTCGTCACGAGTCACGATGAGCTCCGTGCGACACTTTCATCCGACACTTTCCGAATCGCGCGCGATTGGTTTTTAGCGAATAACAACGCTAAAACCTGTCACAGTTGCGTCGTCACGACATTTTCCCTCACACGAAAGAACGACGAGAAGTTGAAAAAGTTCGAGGTCCATTCCAATAACTCCAACGAACATGGCGCCTGCGCCGACGAGAAACACTTGTGGCGAAGCCCGGCATCCCCGGCATCGGTATACGGATTACGATCGCGAAAACACGGTCAGTACCGCGTGTACGCGCTACGTGATACGATAAGACGAGCGTCCGGCACTTTATTCGGCAATCCCGACGTTCACTCGCACGCAGAAACTCACGGCCGTCGCGCAAAAAGCGTAAACAATACGGAGCAACGTTGCTCCGCCCGCGCCGCGACCGGCTATATACCGTCTGACCGTGACCTACGCGGCGCGCGGGCCGCGGTGGCGCGACGCGCGAAACGAACTAAGATGGCGGACATACGCGTAGCATACTTCGTGCTGCACCCCCTTCTTTATAGAAAAATGATTGGTCGACTCCTTTGAGATATCGATTTGATATCGATGCATCGATCGTTGTCGAATACCGCTATTACCGCTTTTGGCATTTTTCTCATCTTTAACCTCACGTGCTCTTACACGTTAATTGAAAATTGAACACGTGTGAATATTTCTATTATAGATTTCTATTGTCCTTTGGGTCACCCCCCTTTCCCGCAACGTCTACATCGAATACACAGTACATACGTATATTACTGTGCTTTTCGATCTCGCATCACATCGATATAGAACTGGCCGCGCGAGAGATAGATATACAATAGACGTTTTATAGAAATATTCATATACGTTCCCACGTAACATAAAAATAATTGACAAAGTCGAAAATGATAAAAATATTAACCAGAGGCGTCGACGTCGACCGTTCATCGACGCATCGACATAAAATCGACGTCGATGACTACGCAATCTAATCATTTCGAGCTGATGTAGCTATAAACGGTCGCGTTTCGAATATGATCATAATACCTGAAATGCTTTTGCAGCAGTCGCCTGGCAGTACTTTTGTGACTCCCGATACGCTATCGCGCGTAATTCATACGATATATGATATATCGCGGCGACAAAATAAGGCGAAATGCTCTAATGAGGACAATTAACGACGCGACGCGAACCGCCACGCTTCGTCTACTACGCGATGTCCGTGTGAGAAAGCGCGATTCATAGCGACGCGACGATAGTGACTGCCCACAGTACCCGAAGTGCCCGCGCTAGTCTGACAGATAGAACGGTCGCCGGAGCGCACTTTGCACGACATTCCCGATATTCATTTATCCGCACGATTTATTCCTGTCGCGCGAAACGTAGAAAACGCGGAGCGATATCGCTTCGCTTCCGTTCCGAAGTCCCGAACCGTTCCGAACTGCTCTGCGACTGCGAAGTGAAGCTGGCAACGCATTAAGATAAAATGGCGGCACATTATTAAAAGAGCATTATCGTGTAATCAAATCTTGGAATTAATAGCGAATCGATAATTGTAACATTTTTTACTTTAATGTTCCAATCTAGTCAGAGCTCGCAGTTTTAGCGATTATTCCCGCGATTACTGGTGAATTTATAAATCTATTTATAAATTCTAATTTGCTTTTAATTGTATCTATATATATATATTTATGTATTATAAATAATATATACATACATATATTATAAATGTACAACCACGATCGCTTTACATAATTATAATTTTCCTAGGTTTTTCCTTTCCAATTCCTAATTCTACTCTATTTCGCAGGGAAACCAGCATTACGCGAGTGATAAAATAAGAAGAATGATGCGTTAACTCGATAAGCGACTTGTAATACGCGTTCAATAAAATTATTCTATTGCCTTGCCATACCCGTAGACATCGTAAAACCTACAATCATCCTTCACGGAAGGGTGCATTCGACCGCGAAGAATGTCCGTTCCGCTCGCGGCATAATGTTGGTATGCAAGCGTGAAAAATTTAGTGGGCCATGGGTGAGAAACACGCGGGCGTTTGGAAATTTTTCGAGCGACATTCCTCGTCGGGATATGCCGGATAATAATTTCACCGGTCACGCGCGCATTCACGTACGTTATACACATATTCCGAGAGAGCGACTGACGGGGAAGAGTCTTCCAAGATTAACGATTCCGTAAAATTTTCAGCCAGATTCCGCGCCGAGGAGGATGCTACCGGCGCGGCGCGGCGCGCGGCGTAGCGTTCAGTCGAGATCGGATATCGAGCGTTCTGTTTTATATTTTTCATGTATTTTCATTTAACGTTGCATCGACGAAATTTAGGTCGCGCAAAGCCGTTAAAGGCTGTAGGTCGATAAAATTTTAATAAATGCATGCTACGTCACGCCAGACTCGACGTACGGCTGAAACCCACAAAATTAAATCGTCTGCCTCCCGTGGAGACCGCTTCATTATGAACCGCGCAGCCCTCTCAAGAAGGATGTTTGCCCTTTCACTTCGTATACGTGGAATTAAAAAAAAAAGAGGGAAGCTGAGAAGAATAGACGAGAGCAGTATCGTCAACTTTGTCGGTGTGGTCCAATCTTAGAACATCACTGTCGACCATTAAGTTAGTCTTTACTTAGACGAGCTGTTTTTACTGCTTTCTTAACTCACTCGGGACTTCTCAAAATAACACGACGTAAAAATAATCTATTGCGCAAGTACATACATGTTTAAATCTGTCATCTTTCCCAACTAATAATGTTATACTTCTGAACAAGATAAAAATGATTAAACGTAAAATATACGATACGAATTACATATGTAACATCGTACAATAATCGCTCCCTATAACGACACGTGTGTCTGTTATGATACGCGTAAAACGTCCATTTCGTTTAATATCACGTTGCTTTTGTGCCTCGCAAATAAAATGATTTAAAATTACGATGTGTCATAAAATTTCACAATGTACGTTTATTTTAAAAGGAATATTAAATCCATATTGTTATCGCGCGCACGTCTATCGATTTTACAGAGAGGAGAGGCCGCTACATCAATCGCGATACACGTCTGCTGGAAACTAATTTGTGACGGCAATTGAAAAGCAAAAGTGATAAGGATGGATGTAACGCGACGTGTTCGTTAGTATGTGCGGCAGCGGCGGTGGCGAACAATCTAAACCGTACCATTCGACAGTTGTGAAACTGAAACACTGACATGCTCGGTAAATTGTTGAAGCGAAAACATAAACGCAGCCGAATGTATTATGCCTGCGTAAGAAGCACAATGTTCTATGCGGACGCGCCGCAGGACCGCGATCAACATGCCGCAAACATCTGTACTGTAAGCGCAGAGATAGACGAACGCCAAAGCCGTAAGGGGGTCGTCAACTATGTACATAATTTCTAACTTCTGACTCTATCCGTTCTCAGTTCCTGCAACGGACGATCCGGACCGTCCGGAAGCGCCAAATCTCTCCGCGCCCAGCGCGCGGTCAACCCCAGATATATGTTCACTTGACGCGTGAATAGCATCGCGCATGGGAATAGTCTCATTTGTGTTTGTTTGTACGCTGCCTCATTAATAAAATGGATCGGCGGCAAAACAGAAAATTGCTCAAATAGCGATACGCCGCGGTGCCGTAAAATCAGGACGTGGCTATCGTATAGCTACAACGAAATATAGATTACCACGACCTCATTATTCCGTTATACCGTTATGCAATATAAAATCGAAATTGGAAGAGAATAATGCTTCTAAATCATTTAAATATTAATCTAATATGTAGATACAATTAGTGATTTGTTCGCTCGTATCACTCTCTTTCTCTCTCTCTCTCTCTCTCCCCTCTCTCTTTAGTTTCTCAATATTTACGAATTAACTTTAGAAGTGTCACGTTTAATTTAATTTAAATATTCATAATTCGATTATCTACGGAGGTAAATTTTGAATTTGTTTATCGACTACATGTATTATTACACAATCGATTGGCGATATCAATAACAAGATTGGACGATCGTTTGTTGTCATGACCGAGACAAGCTGATTTGGCTTCGACTCGATTCAACATTCAACCTCAATGTAACTTGGCTTCCTTTTCGGCAGAAACCCGTCAAAATTCTAAACCGTCTAAATTCCAAATGGGGTGGGGTTTGACAAGGACGCAGTGCCAGTGTAACGGCACTAACGGCAGCCATGGTATATCGACGCAAGTGCAGGAATGCGCTCCATCAAAGAAAGTCTTGCCAGCATGCCCTCCCATCATAACGGCTGCAGTGAAGTCCACTTGTGGAACAAGACGGATGTTCGTTTCTGTCATCATCCTGATCTTTTTGTTGGCCGCTATATACTGGGTATCCATGCGCCAGCAAGCGAGCCCCGGCGTACGTCGACCAATGAGAATTCAACCTCAAGCTTCACGAAATATCGCGTCGGGGCAAACCGAGGCTGCGGAAACGGCTGAAAGATGAAGTAACGTAACTAATAATTCTAATTCTCCTTCGGAAAGGACGTGCATGATAATTCTGTAAATCCAAGCTGGAAATTTATAACGAGAAAGATGCTCCACTCGTGCGCGCGTTACGATTCTTTTATTATAACAATGCACGTCCTTCAATGGAATAATAATTCTTTCAGCTTGGAATGCCTGTACATTAAGAAAGAGATAAAAATGGGTACTTTACAAGTTTAGTCGTTATAATTATAACTTGAAAGACACTTTTTCAATAATAGTATCAACATATTCCTTTATATAGCTATTTCGAAATCTATAATTATTCTAGAATTATCCTAACAGAGATTTCAAGGAATGCATAACGCTAATTAATAAAATTAGTATTAATAGAAAGTATTATACTATAAAAATATTAATGGAAAGTGAATGGTGTACAAATAAAAAAATTATCAAACTAGGTAATCAGCATGAGAAAGAGAGAGCAAAGAAAAAGTAATTCGAAGTACAATGGACTTGCATTTCCAAGCAGCATATTGCATTTCATCGCCAGGCACTGATATTGTATATCGTAGTAGCAGCTGTGGTTGCACGATGCACGATGTGCATATGCCGCATAAAAACAACCAATCCTGCAAGTCTAATAAGCTATAAAAAACTGTTGAAATGAAGAAAAATAACAATAAAACTTTTATAATATTGTACATATTGCAACCTTAATTTATCGCCTTTAATTATAATTATACTAATAACGCTATTACGAAGCGATTAATTTGTATTTCCTGGAAATCGCGAAAAATCTGTCATTTTGAGTGCCGAAATAAAAAAGCGAGTATCAAACGGGTAATTCTGTAACTTTAAATTTATTTCTCTATAAATTTTAGATATATACATAGAGTACTGTGACATATCTATTTTCTTACATTGGTCACATTATTTATAAAATACAAGTACAACGATAAAAATAGACCTTTGAACTTAAACGTCTATAACATTTACTATATGTGCCAATGTATTTTATTCTGTGTATCCTGCTATCGTGAGTATGCACGATAAAGTTGTGATAAGATTTAATATATGGAATATCGCGAGAACTATAAAGCATCAACTGTAAAGCATAAACTGTAACAACGAGAGTGATTTTAATCGAAGCTACCTAAAAGGTCGAGCGTATGCAACATCATCCCTGCTTCTCTGAGCACGCGATTTTCAATGATGCCGTACGCAAACGGCACGTTAGCGATAATTTCTCGTTCCAAAAGTTCACGATCCACTTCCGGATACTCGTCTTTCACAGCATCTAAATAAATCCGCAAAATATTCCGACAAAATGCCTCGATCGTCGATAGATTATCGTCGCGGTCGTCGGGCAGATTTTGGAGGAGAATGTGACCGAAATCAATCGATGGTGAACAATACCTCATTGTGCTCCAATCGATCACTTTTACGTCACTCGGCTTCCCATTCTCGTACCTGAACAACAAGTTATTCCGCGTGAAATTACCATGGCAGATGGTCCAAAAATCGTTGAGCTCCAATTTGGTCGTTACGTCTCGCTTTTTTCTTATTTTCTCGGAGAGGTCTCCATCGACTGGCAATGCGGAATATAATGAAGTGTCCAAACTTTCAGGATTATCCTGTGCTTCAAGTGATCTACAAGGGACATAAGATCGAAGATACATTGCATATTTTTCCAAGTAAATAATTGTTTTAATCAACGTTAATAATATGTTTGATATCAACATATTATTATATAACGTGTATATATAAAAATTCAAAATTCGACGTAAATATGTTTTTGCTTCGCATAATCAAGCTTTTAAAACAAAGACGTGATTGTTTCGTAACTTATTCTAACATGGAAACGTGCGTACACAAGTAGAAACCAAAGTTTACCTGACGTTGCCTGTCTGAGTGCTTGTATGAAAGTGCAACCAGTCCGCCGGTACAGACAGTTTAGCATAGAACTCCCTGAAAACGGGAAACCTACACGCCCTCAGCTTCAGTCCCTTGCCGTGAATCGTCGCCAAAGCTTTCATGCACAATTTCAGATGATCCTCGTCCAATTTATCATCTACTTGGGTGTAACCGCGCGCGGCCAGATCCTCCAACACGATAACAGGCCGATCGTATCGACCCAGGTCGGACAGGTAACACTTCGGGATACCGTCCGTTCCGTAGTTGAGCGTCATCTTGCTGTAAAACATCTCCTCGTTCAGGAACGGGCTGGACGACAGAAGATTCACGTGCGGTTCAGGCAGCTTGATAATAAGAGGAAAGCTATGTGTCACGCCGGAAAACTTTACGCGCGCCGTCACCCGGTGTAACATGTTCTTGCGATTACTCTTCCGGTCGAAGTGCTCCACGTCGACGGAATCGAACTCGACGAACTCCCTGGATCCGGGCTCGCAGAAATAACGATCGTGGACCATCTCCGGTATCAATACTCGCCTTATGAAGTCGCAGTGCTCGCATACGCACTCCCCCGCGACTCCCGCTGGCTTCACCGACTTGGGCTTGGGCGACTTCGTGTGAGGATCGGGATCTGGGTCGGCCATAGCGAAAGGGAAAATAATATCGCTGTAATAAAACACGGCAGCAATTAAGGACACCGGTACTGCGAGAGCGCGCGCTTAAAGCCGGAAAGTCGAGAATTATGAGGATTTTTTTTTTGCGCGCGAGCCCGCTCGTTCTAATAACGTTGTCGCGACGAGTGCCGAGTGCCGCGTGCCGCGCGCGTTAATAATGTTTATCGTCACGAAGTGCAACGAGTCGGCGGGCGACGGAATAATTAAAAAACATTTTAAACCTCGAGAGTGAGTCAAAATGCAACATAGACGTTAACGTAAACGAGCATTTCCATCGATAATTAAATAGGTGGCATATATATATAGCTCCCGTAATTATAAAGGTTATCCGAAGGTAATATGTATGATGAAAGACTTCACCAGTGGATTCTAAACTCGTTCGACGTATGTCCCCCAGCGCGTTCCTCGACTAACAAGTGGTCACTGTGTTCACGAGCTCCGTTCCTCCGTTACTCGTCCCAAACGACCCAAACAGATCTCCCCTCCGCGCATTCTTCATTTATCTTTTATCTGACCGATACCAGCATAACGGGTTGACACTGATCATCTGTACTTTGTAACGTTTCGTTTTCTAGCGAGCTATAATATAAGTTCCTAGGAAATCCAATAGCTCCTGCTCTCTCTATTATCGACAGTAAATAAATTTTTAATTGATTTATTAATTTACGTCAGCTACCAACTATCACCTACTCTTATTCGCTTCTACCTCGGCTTCTACTGTTGATCTTAATTAATTGACTAGAAGAGAAAAACTCCAGAGCTAAGTTTAGACAAGAAATGTCACATTAATGTGAATCTAATACCAAATACTAAATGATGATGAAATATTCAGTTACTTATACGTTTCTTCTTTTCCTTTTCGATTTACTCGACTCGAACCGGTTTTATTGATTTTTAATGATGTCGCAAATAATTAAGTTTGCTCCACACCGAGACGTGACTAACCGTTTAGGAAACGTCGCCATCTCTTTAAGTACATTTTCATCGGCATTTAATCAGAGAAAAGGTATCGATCTTGAGAAAAGTGGAAGTAACTTTAAATTGCGTTATATAAAGATTATCGCCGTTAAAGAACGTACTCACTCTAATCAGATCTATATAATTAATTGGATTTATTTTAACCGGATGACGCGCCGTGAGTCTCTTGGACTTTAAATGCTGAGAGAATATAATTTTCTCTCGTCGTGTCATAACTTTGAAACTTTGAAGACAAAATGCCACAAATTGCCAAGTTTTCACAGCAAATGTACGTTTTCGATGCACCTGCAAGTTTTACAGATAATTGAATGGTTTATGTATATATACATAAACATATATAAACTGTATCGATAACATATTTATTTTGATGGATCGCTACAACTTCAAACCTTAACGAAAGAAACGACAAGCACCGAACATCTCGTGCTTAATCAATTACCACGTCAACATCTAAATTTTAAAGTGTAATTTTTCTAAATTGTGGGTGCGAGCTCATGCTGCGAACAGAATAATGCATTATTGATCACGAAGGAGGACAAACGGGCACGACAGCTGCAGCCGGGATCTCAATTCGTTAAAGCAAATCAATGATCTAGCCTCTGGTACCAATGATTAATTTGCCCTGTAACGCGGCCTCGATGTCACAGGTCACGCCCTGTCAGAACGTACCCGTGCAGACGAGTCAGTATAATTTTCCAACATGTCAACAACGGCAAACCAGCACTCAGCAGATGCAAACTGCAGCATGCGGTCCATGCTCCGGAACTTCTCAAGGTACAAAGCCGATCATGCCAATCAAATGCTGAATTACCTAATAATGTTATGTCCTGATTACGTAATCATTTTATGTCCTAAATCAAAGTTAAGTGCTTTCTTAAAAAATATAATTTGGATAAAGCGACAAAGCTGCAGGAAGAGTTTAAATCGAAAATATTTTATTTTTAATAATCTAATTCTGTCTGTTGAATAAAGTACGTTCGTTTCCAGAGTTTCTCATTTTTTATCCGTTGTATTTTTACGTATGTATTAATAATAAAGCTGAGAAGTTTATTTGTATATTTATTTGTTTGTTCGAAGTGGCATCAATTGAAAACGAAATAAACCTGTTTAAAAATTTAACAGCAGATGAGTTATATCCTTTCGCAGTCATATTAATAATAATATTTTAATAATAACAAAGCAATAATAAATTAATATTAATATTATCTGTGTTTTATTAAGTAAAAATAATTAAACAAATCTGTCTACAGTTTTTACGGTAAATATTCTCTTGTACGTGCATCGATAATATTTTCAAAATGGTAATTAATTAAATGAATAAATATTTGCTTTGTTTGTTTGTTTAAAATAATATTAATTAAAAACCTCATATATATAGAATATGAGCAGTTTAGCTAATTTTTAATAAAACACTTAACGATAATTTCATAATAAGAGACATGGACTTAAATGACTGATGTGTGATTGTTCCTTATTCTATTTCGATTTTTCTTATCTATCTAGGTGGACCCTTCACTCACGTTTGCCAGCCGGATACTTACATAGTTACGCATCAATGCGCGCCGGGTACATCGCAGCCAGTAACGAATCCATGTCATCCCATCTTTCAGAACCTACCGCCCACTCGTCCCGGCTGCGGCCAGCTGCCGCAGAATATTTTGGACCAGATTCGTGCGTGCGTTAACAACGCCGCGCCCATCTTCATTCTGCCCGGCAACTGCCAACCATCGTTGATATCCCAACAACAACAACAGCAGCAGCAGCAGCAGCCGTCCCTGCCTCCTTTGGCACCTCAAATCGCTTCCTCGCCTCCAGCGGCGTATCCACCACCGAGCGGATTAACTTACCCCGCCGCCTGTTATCCGCCACCGCCGCCGTTCTACCCCTATCCCATGCCTCTGCCGTTCTGCGATCCGTTTATTCGCACCCGCGAGGCCACGCACCCGAGTTGCGGATGTTGCCGGAAAGGGGATGTTGACTCGACGGAGATCAGAAACGTCTTACGCGCCGGTTGTCGTTACGACGCTACCGATCCGGACGAGCATCGTTGCACGCCCACCATCGACGATACTATCTGCTCGAAAAGAAATTGTCCGTCCTCGTTACATCTCCAAGCACTGGCATCTCAATTTCTGTCGATGCAAGGCATTATACCGTGCGCCGCCACACGGCTGGTGTTACGTAAAGTGCCGGGCTCGAATGTGACCACCAGCATGGAAGACGTGATGGCGAGGGCGCAGAAGGCGATAAACGCCCTGACGAAAGATCAGCTGTTATCGGAGTCGAGGAACGCGCAGCAAGTGAACGCGCTGATCAACCTGCACATGACGGCCAATCCACCGCCCAACATCATCCCGATTCTCACGCTGGTGCAACTGAAGATGAATCTGCTGAAGGCGCAGGTCGAGGGACTCGTCAATCAAAAGATAATGGAGATTCAAGGGGTTGGAGTGGAGGTATTAACGTAATATTGTTGGAGAAATTTTAATACATTTATAATATATCTAGCGCGTACATGTTTTTAATTTTTATAATGTTTTTACTTTCTGTATCAAGGTGGAGACTGATCTCATAGATCCCACGGTCCTCGCCCTCAAGTCTGACGCTGAGCTGCGAGACTTCCTTTCAGCACTACGGCAGAAAGAGTGCGATGAACGAGTGAATGTAAACTTTGCTCCATATCGGTCGCAGCGCGCAATTGCAGAGACTCGGCTGAGCAACGTTCAGAATAAGATCCGTCAAGTGGAAGCAGAATTCGATCGCAGACGGTGCGCGATGCTGCCGGCGCCGACATTGTCATCGCGCGTCGTGCAACAATTCTCCAAGCCGTGTTATTCAGCGAGATTCGAGGATCCCATGAGATTGTACAGCATGTTGCCGCCAGACACTCCTCGTTCGCCAGATCCGTTCACCTACGTAAAACCGCGAAGTCCCAAGAGACTGCTGCTGAAACCGTGCACGGGCAAACCAGAGACTGTTACGCGGCTCGTTGCCGTTCCAGCAGCTGGCACGCGCAGCAATCCTCCCAAAAATCCGGACGGTGGTAGCGGTGCCGATCGCGCGAAGGAACAATCCGCGACTCCCGATCGGCAACGTTTCAGCACGGAGAATTGCGCGTGTTGCGACAGGACGACGTCGGAGGAAAGCGTCGGCGAGGCTAAAAAAAAACTCCGACCGAGAATCATCGAAATAGACGCGACGACGGTCAGTAATGTCGAGGAATTGGAACGCGAGGCATTGTCCTTGATGAAGCAGACGTCGAATATCTGTGTGAGAATCGACGCGGAAGAATACGGGGAAAGGAACGAGACGTCGGCCAACGGAATTCCATGCAGCGCGAAATGTTGGACGGCCGAGGCGTACATCAACGTCGCCGACGACGAATCGGCGAAGACTTTAACGGAATCTGAGAGCGACACGGTTACCCTCAGTGAGAAGATCGATGCGGAGGACGTTTGCGAAGCGCGAGATGTGGTCGAGATTCGAAGCTGCGATCAGACGATGGATCAGCAGGAATTTGGAAGTTCGTCAAACTTGCGGCAATTTAAAAAGCAAGCAGAAGATGAAATCACAATCTCAAGAAGAGATGAAGCAATTAAGAAACGCGACATCGAGATTAAAAGTTCGCGAGACGCCTCGCCGTCGGAAGCTGATCGAGAAGAGGTGAGAGCCACAACTACTGCGGTACTTGCTAATAAAGATCCAATTTCGAGTGTGCAGGAAACAGAAAGAAAGTCATCAGACGGCATATGTACTTCATCTCTAAGGATTACGTTAAAACCAAAGGACGAAAGACGCGAGGATGAACAGGAAGATAAAAACGGCGAAATCTTGCCATCAACCGCAACGGTAGAACAAAGCACGAGTCAAGTGCCAATGAGCACAAGCAAGAAGAAAATAAGATTTCACATTGTCTCGTTGATGACGAATATTGTATACGATAAAAGTCGTAAATATGCAAGAGAACGAAAATTCGAGAAGGATATAGCAACAAGTGAAAGAGAGATGAGTGTAACCACTGATCCGGATATTGAAAAATTAAATAATCGCCGTTCGATAGAAAATCTTGTAAGAACTGCCGTCGCACACAATATTACCGGAAAAGATCACTCGGAGAACATAAAAGAGATTCCAAACAGATTGGATCTGCCAAAGCTCTGCTTCGATCATCAATGCCAAACCGCCTTTAAGGAAGATAAAAATACAACCGCCGCATTGTCAAGAGCAAATATATTTCCTCCGTTCAAAAATCTACCTAAATATGTAACAGGTAAATTATCGATTTCTTTATATTGGCCTATTTCTCTATATTTAGAAAGAGAAAAAATAATTGTTCACGTTCTTGTTTTATAATTTGCAATGGCTTTTCATTAGTCTGCGTCAGAATATACTTTTAGAAATTGCACAGTTCTGCGCAGAATATAAAGTATAAAATAGAGTTTAAATCAAAAATTTTTTTTTATTTAACTTAGATAATGAGAAAAACGGAGGCGACGTAGGAACTTATCCAAGTCCGATAACGAAAGCAGGAATTACGGCTACAAAACGTTTATCCCGCTGCAACGACGTCACAGGAAGTACCTTAGAAGCTCTTTGCAAGAATAATGTGCCTTATCATTCCGATGTAGAATGCGAAAGAAGCTTAATTTCGAAACTATTTTCTGTCATTGGCAACCACGTGATCGCGTTCATCAATAAAATAATTGGAATGAACGGAAGATTGTTATATTCAATTCGTAACGCAATATTTCGTAAAAGTTTAAACATTGATGTCCTCAGAAGAGACGTTCCGATAGGCGATCATTCCGAACTGATTTCGAATGATTACGATCCACCAGCTGGTACCTCGCATTATTCTTTTAGCCTGAATTATAAAACTTCCAAAATTAGCGAACATGATTTTCGCAATACAAACTTATTAGGGATTTCTACGAAAAGAGGATATAATGGAATACGTAAAATAAAACATTCAATAATTGAAGACCGGAGAAACGACACAAGATATTTATTGATCGGTACATCATGTCACAATCGTGATTTGATACTGACGCGTGATTTAGGTCGACCTTACAAAGTGCAGAAGAGTCTCTTGATACGTAGTCGATTGAAAAATTCTCTAAATTCGCAGGATTACCCGTATCCTTTTTCTCTTTTGAAACGTACTGGGAAAAATGTACTTGAATCTCGTCAAGCGAAACGTAACGAAAATATAGGAATCAAAGAAAACGAAATACGCGAACTAAAGAGTAGTGAAAAAATCTGGATATTATCGGGAATTGTAAAAACAAACGGAATTAACGGGAAAATATCAGAAAAGAGGGAATATGATAATGAATCCGAAGAACAAATTTTAAACGAATATTCGCACAATAATATTAAAAATGATGACGTATCTACCGTGCAAGAATATACAGTCGATAATACTGCAACTGACAATGAACTCGTGATAAACATTCATGATTATCTCAGATTGCAAACTGAAATAAATACAAGTATGTACGAAAATTGTAGCGCATGTTTATTGATATCTAGTAATTGATAAAGATTTCGGATAATAATAATGTGATAATTGTGATATACTAATAAATAATTAGAAATTATAAAGGTACGTTATGATTCTATACTGTTCTATATCTAGTTAAAGGTTGATTAAAGTAAACAACTATAGTTTAACTTCTTTTCTTTATTAATAACTTTTATTCTTTCATCAGTGATCTATTCTCTCGTCGCTATAGCTGTCTAATGAGAATCTTTAGAATTGTGACATAGCAACAGTACGATGATAAATATATTTCAATGCTTTCCCAGAATCATTCATTCCAGACTCTACAAAAGAGTTTTAATGGAAAAAGTATTTGTCACAAATCCCACATACACTCGCATCGAATCGGCATACCATGCCGTTACAACATGAACACATGCATATCAAGTACAGTTTAATTCCCTTGCGTGATTTTGCGATCTTTCTAATTAATATATATATATTATAGATTTCTTACGTTCTAATCGATCGATTATCAGTAGAAAATAAACGGACACATTGGTTGTTATTAAAGAAAATTAATATCGCAACAACGAAATCCCGTGTACATATCAAAATACACAAGTAACAATGTCACACGCGACATTATATATATTTATATAAATATAATGCTCTTCAACGAATAACAAGATGTTTTATCTTGGATTTGAAATGTCAGAGACAAAATGGAGATGAAATTGGCATCTTACACGAGTAATATGAAATTTATAATTGGAAGAACTCATGTATATTCGCAGATTGTAAATACATATAAATATTAAACTCCGCAATGAAAAAGCAATTTAAGGTATCAGTTAGAGCCATATTAATACACATTATTAATACGTGTACCTCAAGTACATGCTGTAATATCAAAGTTACGAACGGACCATGCTTAAGATAAATATATTCTAAATTTCTTATAGAACTAATCGCAGACTGAAGAGACACTTGTGGAAGAGAAAGATCGAACCTATTGTTATGAAATATTTCATCAGTCAAGACAATCTCTGCTTCTATCATGAAAGATTTCGTTTCAAGGAACTGAGTGATCATCACGTCACTTTCCAAAGTTTAATAAATTATCGCATAATACAGCGTCGATTTAATACACAGTATTTCACGATACTGTGTTACATAGATATATATATTAGATATCTTGATATTTAATGCATTAAAAAAATTTAATATTTAAAAAAAATTTTTTAAATACGTTGCATACAAGAATTTAATATCTACAATTTTACAGACCTTTGTCACTCGTCTGATATCTTAAAGAATAAATATTTGATCTTCTCCGCAGCTCATGGCTACTATTTAGCGAACTACGGCGGTCAAATAGTCACAATTAGTCCGTTATTATTGTTGGCAGAATATTTTATGAAAAATAAAGGATAGATTACAAAACAATGCTATAGAATGATATGCTGCCGTAAGATCACGAATAATATAATTATTTTTTAGCGTGGTGCAATTTTGTATGAACATACGTTCATAGTACGTGTTAGTTTCAAACCTAAAGAAAAAAAATATGGACTTTTTTGTTGATATCAATCTTCTCTTAACCAATCTTTCTCTTAATATCAATTGATCTTGAAATATTATCCTTTTTCGATGGATAAATTATATACAAAAATATTTACAGAGATACATTTACACCACCAATGCAGTCAAATATTTAATGAAAAAACTTAAATAATGATGTGTATTGTAATTGTAATATAATTTAGTTTAAAATTAATACTTCTTATGACAAATCTTTGATCAAAGAAACTTAAGCAACTAAACATTTAAGTTTAATTACTAATATATATATATATAGGCAATCTTTTATATTCATAACAATATAAATTGCAAATGAAATTTTTTTACACAATTTCAACAAAAAACGAAATGCTAACCGATTAAAACTAAATGGACGAGATTGTGAATAGCATATAACGTAGCATGTATTATAATTTATCTAAATTTAACGTAGTATGTATAATACGTCATTTTTGTGCTGTAATATAAAAAAAGACTTAATTGTGTTGTCACAAAGTCATTTTTTATCATCACTATAATAGACTTCAAATGTAACTATCGAAAATTAAGTAGTAGGCAAATTACGCATCTTTTAAATCTGTTGATTTTATTCCGAATATATTCGGATTTCATCATGTACAAGTTGAATTTCCTGGTCGAGAACGTCAACTTGGACAAAGGCACGGTTGACCATAGGTAATGTTTGTGTGTGCAAAATATTACTATATAAAAATTAAAGTTCTCCCCACACATTTCAAGAACTAAAGTAACAATAAATATAAGCAAAGCAAATACTATTTTTGTATACAATGTACAATCGAAGTCCTGTCACTTTCTTTCCCTTCTAACAGAAAATCCAAAATCACTATTTTCGTCCTGAAAACGAGAAATTATTCGGGCGTCCCAGTCCCTTTTTCAGTTCTCGCTAAGTTTATTTAAGTTGTATTTCTTTCTTAATTCACGCCTTTGGTGTACTCAGCTCTCAATTGGCCGAGTGTCACTTTTATGTCGTGAAAACTCGGTCTCTTTTCTGGCTGTAAATCCCACGCCTGTTAAATAGCATATCTGAGTAAGATATGATACAACAATATTATACAACATGTAACATAACAGACAAAAATTTACCTGTTTCATAATATCATAAACTTCTGCAGGACATCCATCTGGTGGTTCCATCTTGTATCCTTTTTCTACGCATTTTACAACATCGGCTAAAGGCTGCAATTAGTAATAATGTGAAGAAAATATGTCACGTGTCTCGTGTGAAAATTTAGAAAAAGTGAAAATATCACTTACAATTCGCGGATACGGCACACGACCAAAAGAATAGATTTCCCAGAGAAGAATTCCGAAACTCCACATATCAGACTTATTTGAAAACTTCTAGAAACAGTAATATAATACATAAGTATATTTTTTTATTCGTCCGTAAGTACAAGTTATAATATACGTACATTTTGTTTTAGAGCCTCTGGTGCAGTCCATTTGATCGGTAGTTTTCCACCGTCGAGAGAAAAGTTTTCGTCCCGCGCCAGGCCGAAATCGGATACTTTGGCGGAATTATCCTCTGCTACGAGAACATTTCTCGCCGCTAAGTCTCGATGCACAACATGTCTGGATTCCAGATACGCCATACCAGCACACGTATCGCTACGATAGATCAAATGTGCAATTAATAATATATTTTACAGTCAGCAGACTAAACGGATTTTGTTTTTGCTTACGTACTATGCAAAGTTAATTTGATCCTTTTTCGAAACGTGTAATCTTCCTCTCGACCGTAAATAATCCACCAGGGATCCCTTACTCATATACTCCGTAACCAGGTACATGTGTTGATTATTAAAAACGAGACCGAGTAATTTAACCAGATTGTCATGAATCAACGAGGTCATTAAGCTCGCTTCGGCCAGAAACCTCTGTGCCGCTTCGCTGTTGTCCTTCAGCATTTTCACCGCGACCCTTTCTCCTCGATAGACGCCTAACAGCACGTCCCCGAATTCTCCCTTTCCAATACACTCCCTTAATTCTAACTCATGAGTCTGAATCACCCAACCAGCCTCCACGAATGCCTTTGGGTCCACGCAGAAATCTTGCTTGCCCTGTTTCGGCAAAGATTTCGTTAGCTGCGTGCACAAACCATCCGCGTCCTGCTCGTAATGCTCGACCAAGAGCGCCAGGTTCTCGAAAAATTCCTCGTCATCGATCGTTAACTGGTTGTTTTTATATTTCACCCTGTAATGCTGTACACGCCCTTGATAACATACGCAGAGCGTGTAATCCCCGGGGAAATTCGTCGACTCTCGAACTAGAAATAAACCATCCTCTCGTGGTCGCAACAATCTTTCTGCCGTTTCCCTCGATATCTTTCCGTGAAACCATCTGTACAGAAAACAAAACAAAATAATTTTGAGCGATATATTATAGCTTTTTTAAATTATACTTTCACATTAATATTCGATTCATCCTTCTCACAAATCGTTACATTTTCAGATATCAAGCTAAGCCAACAATGATACATACGGCATCGCGTTTAGTTTCACTTCGTGTCGTGGATTGGCCGGCAATGCGGTAGTGTTGGCGCCCGGATTAATGGCATTCGAGGTGAGAATCACCGGCGAGGACGTGGTGTTCACGTGCGTCGTGATGTTCGAGGTGGTAACATTCGAATGCGTGGTCATCGTCGGCGACACTGGATGGGACGGAATGCTACCTGCAGTCAGGTTGGAAGGAGCGCTGTGCTGCTGCTGCTGCTGCTGAGTGTTGTTTTGTATGAAGGGATGAGACGTTACGTTTGAAGGGATAGTGTGATGATTTTGATTGCCGTCGAGCTTCGCTTGCCGCGCTGGCGCTGACACATTCGGGTATCCGCCACCCGCATTGTGGTACGTTGGCATGGCAGCTACCACACAGTAGGCTTTATCAACCTGCAAAGATGAATGAAGCGCATTCATGAATCTCAGACTTCATTTATCTTGCTGCCTCATTAAATAAGACGCTTTATCGATGTTCTATCCATAAGTACATTCATGACTCGTGTAAAAGTAATGCAGGGGATAAAGTAAGAACACGAAGATGATAGAAGCTTATAACAAAGTACGGTTCTAACTTCTTTTCAATTAATATTTTTATATGATTAATATGGATAATATGAATGTTGTTAAAATGTAATATATAGTAATTAGTAATCTCTATATATAATCGTTCAATTTTATGTTTTACATCTTACAAACTGTATTTTTTAGGACAGGCAATTATCTTCCCACTTTCTCCTATATTGAACATCGAATTAGATTGTTAAACAGTCACGTGTTCGACGGATCTTCTCAACTGTTACACGAGGATCGTCAACTCGAGAAGCCACAACTGAAGTGCTCTTGACGAGAAAAGCCGGTTCTACGCGCGGGGAATTCTCCCGACGACGGAACAACAGAGGGTCGTCCCATAAAAATACGAGCGAGGTGCGAAGTGATCGACAATGTTTACAGCGGAGACGACTCAATTATCCCGGCCGCGACGTAACGCACGGAAGCGATAATTAATAAAACTCGTTAGGCGAATTGAGCGCGATGCATATTCAACCGGCATACATATCCGGTAAACCGCGTGTCGGGTTTTAATATACAGTAGTTAATCTAAGTGCCTATTGTTTCAAGGCGCGGACGCTATCGCGATGCTCGTCCGCCGTATTACGATGCGCTGCACGACCATACATGGAACGTGTATGATAGGTGAGTCACATACCCAGCCGTGTATTTTTTTTTTCGCGACGATTGTAACGCGAATAAGCGTGGTAGAGTAGGCCTATAATTATCCCGCCTATAATTACCTGACTAAGCGACATACAATTTCCACGCGTAATAAATATATCTCCGATAGACAATTCGTGGCGAGAGATCATAAATAAATCATTCACTTTGGCATTCGTAAAGTATTCGAATCCGTTTTGTTTGTATTTCAGGAACAGAAGTATATCGGATAAAATCAATCTGTCGAAATGATGCGAAAAACGTGCGGAAATATTCCTGCCGGTTGAGATGAATGAAACATATACGTAGGAAGCGCTTCGTAACGCAGGAAAATAGCTTTTAAAGGAAATGCTCGTCGGCTATGGATTCCCGGCAACGATTTCCCGACGTATCCGTATTATGATCAAACGCGGTAACAGGAGAAACAAATCCATCGCACCGGCGAATATTGAATAATTCAACTGACTATCCTTGGTCGGGCGTCTGCAAGACAGAAAAGAGAGAGAGAAAGAGAAAAACGAACGAGTTATGTCACGCGAAAAGGAATAGTTGCAGCGAAACATAATATGCGAATCGCTCAGTTACATAAGCTCGAATAGTTGCATTTCTGTCATGTGCCTGCCCGGTATTTCGAGAGACAGATAACCGATTAGCGTCGTGGAGAATACACGACACGCAAAAGAGAAAATGTCAGACAAAATTGTTTATTCTAAAAAAAGTATATGTATATATACAATATATGTACAATAATGTCGAGCTTGCGATAGACTACACGATTCGTGTCTACGTCGTCTTTTACAACAGGCACGTATAAAAACCGCGATAAGCGTAAAGCATAAAAGTTAAACGTCCAGTTTTATGGGTCAGATATATAATGGAACCACCTTCTCTCCTCTCTACATTAAAATAGAGTTTCGTATGGCCAAAAAGAAAAAAAAGGCAGTATCGCGCTCGACAGGCGCGAAACGCCTTGAATATCAATATCGAATCTGGGATGCAAGGTGCGTACATGTAATACACGTTCCATCGCGCTTGTCAGGTAACTCGACTGCACGGCCGCATAGATTTCAGGCTAATGAAATTTATTATCGGCTGCACGCGACGTTAATTCTTACTGGGGTGTAACATATGTAAAAAAAAAGCACTGCACAAAATTGTTCTATCGCGTGCAGCGAGGTGCTTAAAAGAGTTACGTGCTATTTGCAACCGTTTATGACTCAAACCATTTATGCCTCCAATATCTATGATTCAGAGAAAATGCGCGTCTTTTCCGAAACTCTACGTACGTACTATCACGCGAAAATTTGTTAAATAAAATTACATCGTCAGTATCGTAAGAATAAGAATTATTCGCGATTGATAAAAAAGACTGTTTTAGAAATTTTATTATAAATAAAAATTCTTTGCTTCGACAGTCACGTTTTATGTTATGATATCTGTACAAAAAGCTTACGTCGATACTTGAATGGTGCACTGTAAATAGATAATTATTTTTCGAAAGGCATGTTTTACTTATATCTTTTAGTTCTAGACTGACGATTGCCTCGTTCCTTGCATAGCGAAGTGGCTGAAATTCTATCCGAATTCACGTTTATCAAAGAAACGCAAAGCAAGATAAATATTCTAGAATGCAAATATTCTCTCGCGCTCGGCCAGCCGCGAAGAAAACCGAGGAAAAGAAACCTCAAGAAGCCTCGTTACATGACGACGATATTCAACATACATACATATAAAATATCTCGGAATGCCCGAGGGAGATAGCAGCGCGGTGCAACCCGTGTTAATTTCAATAGATTATGCAGTCACGATAATTATGTGGTTCATACGCATTTCAAGGCCGACTCAGAAGTATATGTTTATATTGGTGTTTTTCGAACTCCGGCTCGTGATTCACTATCGGAGAGCCTTTGTGCAAGCCGCAGACCACAGTCCACGTCGCGTACGTTTCACCAGGAACGACGTGGCTTCATTCGCACGTGGAAAGCCTCATTTATCGACAAAAAAAAATAGACGTTTTCCCATATCCGTGATGCGATTGTAGCCCGTGCGAACACGACCGTGAGCTTCGAAGGATCGAACAATAACTGGAATAACCGCGATTCTCATGGCTTCCAATAAATAGGGCGAAAATGATGTTTCCATGCGAGTGATACTGCGAAAAATACACTAATTCCTTTTTAGAATTTTTATGATAAAATATATACGTATCTTCCCAGAGAGATGATTTTCCGTACTTTCCTCTAGATTTATCATGTAATAAGTAAAAAGTTGTATAAAAATGTGAAATGTATATTAATTTATACAAGTTTTTAAGCTTAACAGACGATCTTTTCTTTTCAGCCAAGAAAGCCTAACATCCGAGGATCTCAAACGAATGCAATAACTACAATCAGAGCGAAACATTTCGTATTTGTCAAGTACATTACACACTGAACGAGAATGCTCCGCGTGGCGGAGGATCCACAAGATTGTCTATGAGACGAGATTCACGATCGCCGGTTTTTCGCGAAAGGCGTTTTAATGCGAGGCTCGTGCCTCGTGCCTGCTCACATGCCTGGCCGGCACGCACCGCTATCCTATTAATATCTCGCGAGAGAGCGCGTAAAAGGGCGCAAATGCGAAAGGCACGGGGGAAGAGGGAGGCAGAGTGGCAGAGAGCCGGCGACGCAGAGGCAAACGGGTGCGTGCCCGGCAAACGCGCTCGTTATTGCGCGCTCTTTAACAGTACACGTTACTGTACCGTGACCCACCACCGTTTTCCATCTGACGTTGCCCCGCACACATGACTCTCCGGGGGACAAACCTCTCTTCCTCCACGCGCGGGACGTTTTCTTCCCGGCTCGCGAGAACTTCCGAGCACGCGACGCGGACGCGCGGTCGGAAACTTTTGCGACAAACAACGCGAGACGAATCGCGAGCCGCGAGGGACACCTCGCGTGTCTGATCGCGTTGACAGTCCGGATTAGCTCGCTGATGCACAAACGGTACCACGGGAACTCGTTTTTATTTCATTAGTCCCTCCTCCATCACTGTAATACGAAAGATATCATCGGGCACGAATTCCTGAAGCAATTTTAAATAAATTCCCTCTTCACGAAACGGCCAACACTATCGAATCTTGTAATTAAAAGACAGTGACGGCGGAGGAAGGCTAAACGGAATCACACATGTCCTCCTAGCCACAAAGCCATATTTTATCGTGTCTTGTCACATCTGTCTTCAAATCAATTACTTCTCAATGTCAACTGTCCCATTATGTGATAATGAAATAAGCGTTATTAACAGATCTGAAAATAGGTACCGCATAAAATTAATATGGGGATAGCAGATTGTTACACGTTTAAGATTTATATATTATTCTGAAACAAATAAAGTCCCGTCATAAATCGCCGTCTCGCATCGTTCCTCTACGTTTATATTTCTCAAATCCTACTTTCATGTTTCATTCATCCCGGCTCTTAGCAACGTCGACGCAAGCGGAGACGAGCTGTCCGGAGCAACGTCGAGTGTCGACGCAGATCGTATCGTGGAATTCGTGAAACGTGAATAACCCTGCTACTGAATAGCGGGATCAAACCCGATACTTGACTCGTATAAAGGGAGAATTGAAGTCAATATTTAAAAAAAACAGCGTTTATCTCTCATTTCTCGACTCTTTCGCTAACACGTTTATGCGCGCGCTTCTCGTCGGTAGTGGCGCTAAATAGAATAGCGTTACTAGTACCGAAATAAAACGCAAAATTTCTCTCTTCCACCGTTTACAATTATGGGTTAATTTCCTCGCATTGTCTCGCTCGAAGACGGAGATCAATTCACGGTAGAACAAAAAGATCAATTTAAGGTTGAAATACGTTGAAAGCATACCTATGCTTTGCACCAAGTATCCATCTTCTGGAAATATTGCCCCTCTGAAACAAAAACAGAAAGCATTAGATACAAACTTGCGATAATTCTTCGTTTTATCTTAATTTCTAAATTTATTCCAAATATTCTAACCATCATGTTATCTTGGAAAATATCCGTAAATGTGACTGTGAATCGTTAAAGAGTATGCAATAAAATGGCAAATACTAACAATAAGTAAATATTAAATCCAATATTGAGAATATTTACAAAAGAGTGTTAATATTAACGGATTATTAATGAGTTTCTCATGCCAAAAGATAAAAATGCGGAATAATCACCTTTATGAAATGTTCTCTCACGAGACGATAAAAATTACTTTTTACGGATATTTTTGACGCGCATTGCCGAGACGCCCTTTTCAAGGATTTAATCAAATAAAAAGTACCCGAGGCAAAAAACTGTTCCGTGTTCGGCCGTGATTTGGCGGAAGAGGAACGTGGAAAAAATGGGACTGGGAAGGAAGAGCCTTTCCATTTGCAGGGCGCAATTAAGCGCCGCGCGCTCGCGCGACTGCGTTATTCATCGCCCGTTAACCATATAATTAGCCAATTGCTAATTGCCCGAGTTCACATAAGCCTGAGCGACCGGAGCCAGTTTGCCAGGCCCAGGCGCATTAATCACTCGGTCGTCTCATATGATCCTCCTCCCGAATCGAACCAGGTCAACGCAATGTCAGAGTAGATGTATTAAGTGTTTTGGCCAAAATATGATGTGTAAAGCCCATTCTACAATAGCCGTAAGAATAAAAAGTAAGCAGTAAAAATTGACTAACCAAAATCGATTATTCTTGGACTGTAAGAATCCTATTAGTCAATAGCTTACTCCTTACGTCTTACATCTACTCTTTACGGCTATTGTAGAATCAAGATTAACTTCCATTTCTTTACCTCTTTCTCTAAATATAATTAAAATTAAATTAAAAATAAACTAATCCTGTTCATTACGTCTGACTCTACAAAAATATTACTGAAAAGAATGAGATTTATGTTAACTAATATCTGAAAGATATAAATGTGAAATAATTTAAAAATTGTATTCTAGGTGTCCCATAATAACTAATGTAATAAGAGCATGAATAAAATTGAAAAAATTTCTTATTCCGTAATTAAAGACTGGATACTCTTTAGAACATTCCTGACGTAGACTAAATATGAAAAACTGATTCGACTTTTTATACTTATTTGTATGAAAATGAGAAGATTCTGAACTACGAGGTAGACGGTTCAAATTATGTTTAGATCAGCACATTGTTAAGGTGTTAACGCTGAACTGCTAATTCAGAAAATTTCCTGTCAGTCTCTCTGCTGTTAGTGCTGTTATGGTAACGCTATATAATAATAAATGTAAGTACCTCCAATCTGAAAATAATTATTTCGCAATTAAAACTACTAAACAGGGAAAATATTCTCGTTAATACAATTAAGCACCAAACTGAGTGACAGTAAAAGAAAAACCCGTGAACCAAGAGAACGCATTCGCATAACATGTCCCTCTGCATTTTCCTCAGGGCAGACTAGAATTGAACGTGATTAGCGAAACAGCCGGTCTGATTAAGAAAACAGACGCGGACTCGAAGTCGGTCGACGGTACGGCCGACGGCGTCGGGTCCAGTTCTGTCATTTAAATACCGCCCACTGAAAGTGACAGGAAAAAAATCAAGTCCGGAGTATAACCAAACTCTCTCTCTCTCTCTCGTGCGTGCGTGCGTGCGTGCGCGCGCGCGCGCGCACGCGAATCTTGGATCTCGGGACGTGCGGAAAGTCGCGGCGTCGCCGGTGCGGGTCGACGACGCGCGGCGCGTCCTGGCGCCGCGCGTCGACGTCCCGGTACGCGCGCGGGCAAATTGCGATTGATACGCACCTAGGTAAATGCGTTTGCGGCGAGACGAGCCGTGCGGGCGGAACGCGGAACGCGGCCGCACTCAGCTGCGGCCGTGCGGCCGCGCGGGTGAGGCCGGCGAGGCAGACACGGATGCGTGACACGCTGCGACGGCCGGGCACCAGGAACGTTCGCACGCGCGTATATTCATGCGCGAAGACTGCGCGGCGCGATCGCGGACGCAAACACCTTGCGATGCGAGAAACGTCACTCACTCACCCGAGTCGGGCGGCCATTTTACTACGCACCACCCGGGCCGGGCGAAGGAAATATCTTGATAGGCGCACTCTGGACTGACGGGACGCCTCGAGTTCCTCCAATCCAAGTTCATCGCTCATCTGCGCCCATCGCTGTTCCTCGTCACCGCGCGAGACGCTAGTGACAACAGTGATGCCAACCGTGCCAACGATCGGATTTCGGAGACCCTTTCGGAAGGAGTTTTTGCCTATTTGATTAGTTTTGGAACGCAGGAATATTGTAAAAAGCGCAATTAGCAATAGCAATTAATCTCTACAAACCTGCGCAATTAACGACAACGGCAACCGCTACTCTCGAATATCACACGTTAGGATGATGAAATTTCGAATAATCTCCTTATCAGAATATATTCTCTGATAAAATTGATGCATGGTTTTTCGAAAATCTCGAAAGACACGCGCGCTTTCCAGCTTTTACCATCTTTTGTTAAAGTATATTCTGACAATTTGGACGATTTTCTCGAAAAACTCCAACCCTTTCCCTTCAAAATGTACATTTTAATAAAATTTCGAAAGAAGATAGTATTTCAACTAGTCGCTATCTGTTATTGAAATGCGGCGCATTATCTGATAATTATGATTTTTTTTTTAAAACGTACATATTATATATTCTAACTCGATCGCTATCCCATCTCAGAGTGTATTCTCTCGATAATTAATTTTAACATATAATAGTTTTCCAGAAAGATGTACATTTCAATTACTGATGAAGTACTTGCGTCGCACATTATTGCTGAAATTTCTTTCGACTTGTAATTAAACATAAAAAAATGTAAAACTGAAAGCTCTAAAGCTAAATTGCCGATTCCCTTTCGAATCGCTAGTATGACAAATAAATTATATCATAAATGCCGTAAATGCGACGCATTCGATGTATTTCCGGAAGTAGCCATTTTCAAACGTGAGAACGTTCCCTACATGTCAAGTGTATTTGCATTTTTTTTATTGAATTTTGTGCGAATTACTTTTACACGAGCGTTTATTTGTGTCGTTAAAAGAGGAAAAGAGAATATTTTTGTCGTTCCTATAAAAATATATCTGTAGAAAACGACTTTCTGCTGAGTCGCACCAGAGAGAAACCTGAGAGAGGCCATCCCGGCCTTTTTCGTCTGTTGCTGTGTTGCATTTTCCGACGCGCCGCCTGAGAAAGTGCAACTCAACTACGTCGTATCGCTCGGTAACCGCACATGGTTTGCGTCCGTGCTAATGGTTCGTGTCCGAACTAGCCAGCTGGAGGGGATATTCTGGCCGCGGCGGCCGCGCTTCCATCTTGCGTATTCCAATTAATAACGAATTACGATAATTAAAATTACAAAATTAAGATTACATTCTTCAAAATTATTACGAATTTTGTATCTCATAATTTTGAAAAATATAATCGTAATTTTATAATTTTAATTTTCAGATAAATGTCAAATTTTGCAAGCAAGAAGCTATTATTTGAGCGTTGATTCAAACCTTCACATTTATGTGAAATTTCTAACAATTAACGATAATTTTTAAAATGTGAAATTCTATAGATAAATAATAAACACCGTTATTATCTTAATCGTCTTCTGTTGATTTCGTATAATATATCCGGCATTAGTATCATACAGTTTCAAATTTATTATACGTTTCCTTATAATTTTTTATTACAATAATTTTCTTATAAATAATGTTACATATGGAGGGGTAAAAGCCATAGTGGTGTAAGTCAAATTTTTTAAAATATTGTCTTGTATGCATAAATGCAATTTATATATTGTATAGATTGCATCTATGCACACGAGTCAATATTTTAAAAAATTTGACTTATGACACTATGGCTTTTACCCCTCCATATAATTAACAGTACGAGTTACAATCCGTTCGTGTTCCTACCTACCCAAAGTATAATATCTCTATGTATAATATGTATATATTCCCCGCCTATCCATATTTCTATATCTTCATATAGCTACCAAATATTTCATATTCCTACCATATTTTCATTTACCTAACGCGTTATTTCTGCCCACCCGAATTTATTAGTTTATTTAGTTTCATTACTATTAGTTTATTTTATCAATATTAATTAGTCGCAACCGCGATACCCGAAATTAAAGAAGTAAAGATTTTTAAAGGGAGTTTAAAAAATTTTAAGTTCGCGATTAATTGAGATTAAGCTGGAGACGTCACTTTCCCGTCTCCGATTACGCGTTCCCATGTGTAAAAAATATTACCCTCCCTATATATGCACATTATACACTAAATTGGTGGTGTTCAACACCAACCTACCTTGTGTAGATCTTCTCTCCTTTGACCAGTTTGACCATACCATTTCATGGCCAAATCCATTCTGGCAAAGCCAGAAACAAGAAGAAGGAATACACCTTCCGTTACCGCCTAATCATAGACGGCAGATGAGCGTAATGATTTTACGCTTTTTCTCACGATGCGCGAAACACGACCGCGTCGCGAAGGGCCATTTGTAATAAAATTAAATTAAGTAATTTTAAAATTACTAGCGTTCAAAATCTACTTAATATCGTATAAACTATAATTTACGCAAGTGATCATTTTCTCGATTAAGAACAAAAAAGATTTTAATTAGTTAGGAGCTGTTATTTGGAAAAAAACCCGTTTTAATCAACCGCGTATGTAATCCGAATAAATTCGACTACATTTTACGAATAATAAAAACTTTAATTTAAATCTGATATAAGCATGCAAGACTTAAATAAAAATGCAAAATGTAAATGAATAACAATATTGACTAACGCAAACTGAAAAAATCTAAGACCCATTTTTTTCGATATCGTTTCGCATACGAAGTCTCAAAAGGATGAGAAATAAAGAATTAATGACGTGAGATCCGAAAGAGATAATCAAGTTCCTGCACAATATTGAGCTAATGTGAATACTTTATGCACTCGAGCAAACAATTTAAATTTTGATAGTTACATTTTACTACGATAATTATACTACTACTTAAAAATCAAGTATTTATATTAACGCGAAATTAAGTAATCAAGTTTAAAATAATTGTTACAAAAAATTTTCTGTTTTGCAAAACATAATTTATCAGATCTCACGTCATATCGCTTTAACTAGTATAAAAACCAGTTATCAATACATATATGAAAAGACTGTGAAAGCTTAGGCTAAAATTGGTGCGTTATAGGAACAAATAATTTTAAA